AAAGAAATTATTTATATCACAATTTAGACTTCAGTCAGAAAGAATTCTGAGTTTATACCTTGCAATTCTGACACACTTTTTCCTCAACTTCTTTAACGTCTTAAACTTCTTTTCTCGCAATTCAGAATTCTGACTTCTTGTTATATCTCACAATTCAGATTTTTTTTCTCAGAATTCTTGTACTTTTTTCATTGCAATGTTTTATTACACAATTCTGATTTTTTTGTCCTTGTAATTGAGTTAATATTTCACAATTCAGATTTTTCCACTCAGAATTGCGAATTTATAGAGTTCACATCTTGCAATTCAGTTTTTTCCCCTCAAAATTGTGACAAAAAGTCAAAATTGTGATATATAAACTCAGAATTGCAAAAAAAGTCAAATATTTATTTATTTCTTTATTTATCCTGTGGCAGAAACAGACTTCTACATAAAATTCATAAATGAAACACGAAAGATTTCTGCTCTTAAAAAAATCATGGCATTGTTAATAATTAACAGTTTGCATCTATTTGATTTTATTTAAATAAATAAAAAATCGTATTTCAAAATGCAATTATTAAAATTGCGTAGAATCATCATAAATATTTTAAAATTCAGTTAAAAGTGAACATAGTTAAAATATGGCAAAATCTTCAGTTTAATTATTGGGTTAACTATTCAGTTAAGTACTATTCCAGAAATCTTACTCCTTTCCTACCGATTTCATTTATGTCTGAGTGACAAATATGCATCACATTACGTTTATTAGTCTGTTAATACTGTGTAAAAACTGTGTTATCAAAATGGGTGGAAATTTAACCTGCAATTCAAATACAAAAATTCAATAAATATTTTTCTGAGTGGGCATTTTGGATATATCATAATGCAACGTTTTGTTGCACAAATACTGTGAGAAATTACCTCTAGTCTGGTTCTGTCCACATCTCTGGGCAGTTTGGAGCGACTACGGCTGGTCACCATAAGCATTTCATATGGATATACCTTCAAACGAGACATATCAATCAGTACAAAAATGCTAAATCTGCACAAACTCTTTTTAATGTTCGAAATGTAGGGTCTAATAAATCAGGCTGCATAGTTACAACACATCCAAGTAATTCACTGAATGCTGAACAGCCTAATAATTAAAATCATATTAAATATCAGATAATTTTATGCTAGTTTAATATGTTTCACTTGCTTTTGGTTCCAGCATATTAGGCATAGACACTCCTCTGTCCATTCTGGTGGCTGTACGGTGGCCATCATGCATGGGCTAGAAACAAATTAATAGAAAGAGAAGCTAGTACTTAATGAGAGGTCAACTGTATCTTTCAATCTGATTTCACATTATGTAGGACGAATGAGTATGAACATGTATTTGAAAGAATTTAACATATTATTATAATAAGGATGCAATAAAGATACATGGAAACACACAGAGTGATTCAAAACAGTAATCTACATACCTGAAACTCTGTTAAAAAGAAATAAAAAAAGGACAAAGAAAGAAAGAAACAGATTTGTTTTTATATTTATAAATTAAAATAGCCACTTTGAGAAATGCTAGCTATCTCAGTTTCAGCACTGCATGATGCTTTATCGTCTATATTAATTTATACTACAGTACTTCCACAATATATATGACTGTGATTATTATTGCTCTCATTACATATTAATGTATGTAATTAAAGTTAAACTAAAGATGGATGAAACCAACCTCTCATCTCACCGCACACGTCTCCATAACTGTTATACTGAGTGAAATCAGTCGACTGAGGCTGGAACAAAATATACATTAGAAACAGACAAAGTGGGTTGAATAATATATCTTTTATCATTATTATAGTATATTATATTAAATACTGAGTGACAATAATAAAGGGATCTTACCCGATGCAGTCCATTTCGCCCGTATCCAGGCAGTGAGCCTGTTTTAGAGGGTGAATTTCGATCTGCAATTTTAATAATATTGAACACATTCACTATGAAAAAAAAAATTGTTCAATAATGCACACATATATATATATATATATATAAGTATATAAGTGTAAGCATTATTTTTAATATACTTTTCAAATTTATTTAAAATATGCAATATAATATATATTTTAATATGTATTTCATTCCATTAAAGGGGTCATATGATGCGATTTCAAGTTTTCCTTTCTCTTTGGAGTGTTACAAGCTGATTGTGCATATTCTTTAAAGGCATACTCCACCCAAAAATGAAAATGGAAAATTCTGTCATCAAATTCAAATTACAATTGTGCATCCTATTTGCTACCTCGATTAAAATTCAGGAATTCAGCTGGAATTGTAAATTCTCAATTATATTCTGAATGGCCCTGTCCCTTAATCTTGAAGAAAGTCAAGATCCAGAACATGAGCGTCTAATATGCAATCTATTGTACTGAGGAGCATTACTGCTTCCATGTTCGTAGCGTTGTGCTGACAGGCTCCGTGCATGACGCTCTCTGATCATCTCTTTCGCCATCTCCTCTTTAAGAATCATTTTCCCCAAACCAGATTGGATCTGGATTCAGAAACAAGAATCATTTTAGACTTTGTGTTGCATTGTTGAGCAGGTTGCATCATTCTTTTAGTTACAGACATCTCCTAACCTTGCTGAGATGTTCCTCCTGAATCTGTCTGCGTTTCTGGAGCTCCTCCTCATCCTCCTCTCTTGACCTTCTCCTCCCGTCTGTTCCTGAGCACCACCACCACAAAAACACATTAGTAGGACACACACACACACACACACAGGAAGAGCTAATGCAAACGACTGAGTAAAGACTAAGCCAATCTGTGCTATGAGAAATGCTGTTTTTATATGATGAATCACACTTATCTTATTTGTTTCTACCTCCTGATATTTACAGAACTACAGTCTACAGAACAGAAATGAAATGCTCACTTGTGTATTGCAAGAAAAATGATTACACATTAACACATGGACAGAAAGACAACACAAACATTTGAAGTCAATCTCAGGAGAAGTCAATCTCATAACAAATATATGTTCTGAGAAAGTTTTGTTAATGTTCTCATTAAGCTATGAAAATGTTATTTCTGAATGTTATCTGAATGTTCAAAAAATCACGTTTTAAAAACGTTTTAAAAACATTGTTTCTTGGTTATGCGAATGTTAAGGGAACATTCCATTTTAAAACCATCATGTGAATGTTACTTTCTGAAACAAGTAGTAATGTGAAAAAAATGGCTCATTTTTTAATTAATACATTTTTTTTTTTAGTAATTTAATGTTTAAACCAATTCAACACTAAAAAGCTGTTTATTTAAGAACAGCATAATAATACCAGAATAAACAAACTCTGACAGTACTGTATATAAAGCTTCAATTTAATTTGGAATATGAAATATTAGTACCTAAATCAGGAACGATGTTGAAAAAAAGAGTCTAAAGCCCCGTTCACACTACAAGCGACACGCAACAGCAAAGCGACACAATCCCATTCATTTCAATGGAGAGCTGCGATTTCCGGCGACACGAGCGACAGCGGCCGTTGGCGACCGGATGGGGGGTGTCCAGTGACGCGACAAAGTTCAGAATCCTTCAACTTTATGCAAATGAAGAGCGACTTTCGGGAGCGACAGCCAATAGGAAAGAAGACGGTAGAGCTCATGTGATCGTTCTCCTCTCGTGCCGTAGATAAACATACGCAATGGAAGAAAGTAGGCTCTGTTTCTCATTCATTTTTGTTTATATGTACGGATTTAATTTAGATTTAGATTATATTTAGTCTTTTGCCTCCAAAATGTTTGTACTTAGCGGCAAGAAACCTTCGCTGTCAAGGCAACCAGTATTGAGAACGCCCACTAGCAACCTCATCGCCAGCCCCTGGCGACATGCATAGTGTGAACGGGGCTTAAGTTGTAAATAAAACAGATTATATGAGTACATTTTAAGTACTTAAATACTAAAATACTATACTGAAATACTATTACTATTTAAGTCTTTCTACTTCAAAATTTCATGTTTAATTCAGTGTTACTTGCTGTTTCTTTGTAATTATTTGTGAAATTTACTAGCAATTTCTGAATGAAATTTTTCCTACACCACATTCTTTTCAGTGAAGAAGCAGCTTTAGTAATACTAGCATTTTACTGTATCTACACAAATCTGTTAATAAATCAGCTTTAAATCTTCACGGCAAGGTTATAGTTCACAGAAAAATTAAAAAACTTTACTCACCCATATTCCAAACTAATATTCTTTTCTGTTTTTGTTTTTTTTGTGAAAACCCCTCAATTGTGTTTCACAGAAGAAGAAAAAATAACAATACAGAGTCTAAAAAAACATGAGGGTGAGTAAATGATGGGAATTTTTCGATTTTTGGTGAACTGTCCCTTTCAGGCAGAAGCAAGGAGACTTTGGGAACAGATGTATCATGGGTGACCACAGTACCTAGGGCAGCATGGGAGATCGGGGAGGACCAGCAGTCTGTCTCTATCTTTGCTGGGTAGTCTGGACCAGAGGTGTACGCCGAGGGGAATTTGGCGGATTTGATGATGTCATCAGCAGACTTACTCTGGGCTGCAAAGGCAGCTGAATCTAGATCAATAAACCAGGGGGAGGCTGTGAACCATCAGTGTGGCTAGACCAACATCTAACCAACAGATAGCAGAAAACGCCTGCTACAAGCCATATGTGGCACATGGTCAGGGGTTTAAGGCCACTGATAACCCACACTCACTTTTTACAACATATAAGAAGCAGTATTTAGTATTAGAGGCTATTGGTTGTCTGCTTGCACGCTAAACATGCATAGCTGTATCATAAATCAATCAGCCAAAATAAGCCATGCAGCAATTTGACAAACCATCACTGGCTTCAGAACACATAGCATGAGTGTTAACATGCAGACAGTGGGATCCGACCTGCTGAATCCATCTACGGACGACTATAGCAACTTTAAAGGGGTCTTATCATGAAGAATCCAAATTCTCTATGAGGTAAAAGAGTTTAATGTCCACCATGATAAAAAAAGGCAAATGAAACTAAGCTGAAATAAAAACCCCTCTTTTTCTAAATTTACTGACATCAGACTGATTAATAAAAATGATCACTGCGATATTTACAATGTTTTCAATAGTATGGATGAAGACACATTATATCAAAACATCAGATGTAACAATGAATAACTAGTAAAATATGGGAATTTCTGTTAAACATTGTGCTGTTCCTGACTGTGTGTAGCAGTGCTATTATCATTATTATAATTATTTTGTTATTTTTGAATATTTTGAATTTAATTTTTGCATTTTTTAAGTAATTTAGTTGTATATTTGTATTTTATCTGTCTAAATATTTTTAGTTAATATTTTATTCCAGTTTTAGTAATTTTAATACGTCAAGTAAAACTAAATGAAAATGAAAAATGTTGCTTTGGTAACAGCTAAAATAAAATCATTTTTATTTTATTTAAGTTAACGTTTATTTTATTTGAAGTTTTATTTAAGTTTTAGTTAACTATAATAAATAACCCTGGTGTGTAGCACCTACAGCACTGCATTTGACAATAGAAATGAGCAGTTAAAGTTTATTTTTAACAAGATCCCATGTCATTTTAGGCTGATCGTAACAAATTTAGCCACACATGTAGATTCAGTGGAGATTATTTAGGGATGGAGTAGAACAATATGAACTCAACAGCAAACCTGCAGCTCGTACGCAAGAGCAAAAGCATTGTATCTCATTTCACATGCAAAGAAGGCATTTACATACAGGGAACAGCAGGAAAATGAATTAAAACAACAACAACAACAACAAAAAACAAGAACATAAACAGCTAATTCGATTCTAAGGGCCAGAGAGGAAGTGGAAATTAATATTATAAGTGGAACTTATGGGAAAAAAAATCAACAATAATAAACAAAATTGTATGACAATGACCCCTTTAAATGTCAACGAATTTAAGATTTAGCCCAAACTAATTTTTTTCTTTCTTTTTTAAAGTTTGTATTTCAATACTTGTTGACAAGCAATAATACTAGGCTGTCATTTTTAATTTTAAATGCAACAATGTAATCTTTTTTTTTAAATAGCAAATATGATATGATATTAAAGGTCTGGAAATAAGGGGCCAGTAAATACATTAGCTGATACTATGCATATCTAACTTTAGAAAATCTTGCACTTTTTTTGCAAGTTTTGATATTTATGAATATGAATGAAAGTTCATCAAGCACTCATCAGGAGAAGATGTTTTAATGATGATGGATTTATCAGTTGATTCATATTTATAGTGAAATGAGCTCAGTTGAGAAGACTTCAAACAATACTTACATGTTTACATTGAGGTGGTGTTTAATGGCACACAAGCAGATATTAATGAGGTGGAGGGACTCACAGTTTCCAAATAAAAGCAAACAAACAAAACACAGAAATATGGTAAAATTACATACAAACATATACACAGTCATGACGTGAAATATTCTGAAATTCCTTGACTTTGATTTTCTCTCTGGCTGCTAGTTTTGGCTGTTAACTAGTTTACCAATGTACACTCTAAAAAATGCTGGGTTGTTTCAACCCAATTTTGGGTCAAATATGGACTAACCCACCTGTTGGGTTAAAAAGTTAATTTAAAAATGTAACCAAAATGTAACCCAACAGTTGCTGAATAAAACTGTGTAAACAGACTTTAACAGTAAACAGAACAGCTAGTTGCTCAACATGTGTGCTTTAATGCTTGCAATGATGAAACTATATAGTCATTTTAAATACAATCCATAAAATGTAGTAAATAAATACAGGCAAGCATTTTAAGAACTCAATCAGATGCAATCTTCACAATGCAATACTTATAGGAATAGTTCACAGAAAATGAAAATTTGCTGAAAATTCTCTCACCCTCAGGGCATCCAAGATGTACAGTAGATTGGTTTGTTTCTTCATCAGAACAAATTTGGAGAAATTTAGCATTACATCACTTGCTCACCGATGGATCCTCTGCAGTGAATGGGTGCCGTCAGAATGAGAGTCCAAACAGCTGATAAAAACATCACAGTAATCCACAAGTAATCCACACCACTCCAGTCCATCAATTAACATCTTGTGAAGTGAAAACGTGCGTGTTTGTAAGAAACAAATCCAACGTTAAGATGTTTTTAACTTTAAAACTGTTGTTTCCGGCTAAAATGTGATTCCTCTATCCATAATATTGCTTTCTCCAGTGAAAAAGTTGCCTTGTCTGAATCAGGAGAGAAATATGCACAGAATAAGCACCGTTTACAAGCAAAAAGCGTACAAAACAGTTCTAAACAAATATGTTGGTTTTGATGTGAGAGGACAACAGGGAATGGACTTTAACTGGAGGAAGTGCTATTATGGATTATGTACTCGTATTTTGGCCAGAAGCGACCGTTTAAAGTTAAAACATCTTAATGATGGATTTGTTTCTTACAAACATGCAGCTTTGTGAAATTTCGTGTGGATTACTTGTGAATTATTGTGATGTTTTTATCAGCTGTCTGGACTCTCATTCTGACGGCACCCATTCACTGCAGAGGATGAAGAAACAAACTTATCTACATCTTGGATGGCCTGAGGGTGAGTAAATCTTCAGCAAGTTTTCATTTGTAGGTGAAGTATTCCTTTAAAAACAGTGATTCCCAACCAGGGGTGCCTGGTGTGCCTCAGGGGGTGCTTAAAATTTTTGATTTTGCATTATAAAAAATGTAAGCCTTTATCCTTTAAGTTGCAGCTGCTCATCAAAATTTGTACCAATGTATTTGCTGTTATTTCTGATATTTCATACCTCTATGGCATTTCAGTTTCACCATACACAGAGTGCAAATTACTTTAATTTTGACAAATGTTCTAGTTGTAAAAATTATATATTCTAATTTTTAAAATTCAGTTACATAATAAGGTAGACTGGTCTAATTTGAATCTAAAAATGAAGACTTGACTAACTCCTAGTTGGTCTTAACAATTGGTGCCTGGACCCAGGAGTCTCACTGAAGACAGAGGAAACAACCTGGTTACAAAGTGAATCATAATGATGAGCATTTAAATAACATTAATGATAATGCTTGCTAAACGATATCCAGTATAATATGAATTGTGAGTATAATATGACTTAATACGGAGCTGTGTGGCTACATAAGATAACAATGGTTGGGAAACACTGCTTTAGTGTATATTATAAATCATCAGGCATACAGTATGTCAAAATTCTAATTATCTATTTATTGTGAAAGTACTGAATTCAAAGATTCTGAATGACTGTACCATGCTGTTTGTAGATAGGTGGCTTTCTGTAGATGTTTGATCCTAGATCTGAAAGAAAGGAAAAGTCAAATTAGTTCATTTTAGTTCTTAATATAAGAGAATTGGGTTTTTAAACAGAGAAACAAAACAATAACACATACAAAATGCATCGATGAACAATCAAGTCTGAGAAACTGGCAACTGCACCACTTACAGTTTTGATATACTATTACCAAAGAAAGATCTTTACATTTTCTGAATGAAAATGTTAGTGGTGTTTGCTTGTGCAGACTTTTCATTTCTGCGTGAACTGTTGCTTTAAGACAGAGAGATAACCAGACACAGAAAGTGCTATGAATAGTGAACATTTGCTTTGACACAGGGGCATGCTGGGATTGACACACAGTGGGCCACTGGAAGTCTCCAACAGTACCTGGCAGGTGAAAATGTTTAGGAGTCAGAGGGAGAGGAGGGGTGCTGGCCCCTGGGGAACTCCGACCACTGGACGGCTCAGTGCCTCCAATCACAAACACGGTCAAAGGTCAATAGGGAGAATAATTCAAATTAGGGCTGGGCGAAATATATATCTATATCTATATCTATCTATATATATATATATATACATATATATAGATATAGATATTTGCTCTGCAAACAGCAAATAAAAAATAAAATAAAATAATCAAGTTAAAAACTAAATTGAGCCATGTTTACACAGTGTTTTCAATAAATAAATAAAAAATACACAAACTATCTATGGGGTTAATCTTTAAAAAAAAATTACAGAATTACAGAAAATAAGGTCTTATTTAATTTATTTATTGTTTGTTTGAGCTTTATATTCAATTCACAATTAAGTGCATTGACCAATGGTATGGTAGTATGGTAGCATGTGTTCTAATTTATGATAATTTATTAAAATAAAAACCCCACTGCATTACAATAATGAAACATTAAATCATTATTTTATTACAGTAATGATAATCTAATAATCTAATTAGAATCACCACTGAAAATAATGGGACCTACAAAAAAGTAAAACATCTGTACACACAAAATATCTGGTGAAAATCTATTTTTCCATACACACACGCACGCACACACACACACACACACACACACACACGCAGTTTTTAATAAATAAATAAAAGCAAGGTTTTTGATCATTTGATTTGATTCACAGTTGTTCACAAAAGTTCACAATTGCTCATCCCAAAAATGTCATTCAAAAAATGAGATACTAGTTAGAGCACCCAGCCCTAGTTTTTAAAGATAGGCTTTCTCTATTCTAAAACTAAATTTGGACACTGGAGGAGAACAGTGCTATATTAGAAAACTGTAAATAATCCATGAAAGAAAAAGAGAAATTGATTTGATGAAATTTTAATATTAGTCTTTCGAGCACAGCAGACAGGGCTCATAGCTCACCGGGTCTGTGGAAGTGCTGTGGTGAGCGTGACAGGGTGGGGGTGTAATTGTGGCGGCTGTAAATGGGTGACCCGATGGAGCCTTGACTTGTCGACCGGTGGAGGATTCGTTCTCTCATGTCATAGTAACCCTGAAAAACACAGGAAAGATACACCGTAAAAAAAACAAAAAAAACCACCATTGTTTAATTTGAAAATCTAGATGTGATCCACTTACAATACAAAATCTATAAATAAATTCTTAAATATTTAGAATGAAAATTAACTGCATTTCTCCAATAAAACACATAAATATTCAGTAATATTATGTAATCATTTGATTTTTGCCTGCATGCAAAATAAAACTCTAAATATGACTCACCTCAGTAGTCGGTGTGGGTGACCTGGTCTGAAAAATAAATACATATACAAAGAAAACTTTGTGAACACTGTCACTGGGACACCACTGAAATGGGGAAAAACAGACTATTTATTAATTAATTCATTTATGGCTGTGAATCTCAGAAAACCTGTCATGCCTGGGTCAAATTTAAACCCAAAATCTAATTTGAGAAATTATATATTTTTTTCAGAAAAAAAAAATCATATAATATTTTCCATTTTTGCATATTTATTTATGTTTGTTTGTATGTATGTATGTATGTATTTACGCATTGCTTTATGCATTTTGTCTTTATATTCATGGAAATGACATACATTATTATCAATACTGAAAGCAGTGCTGCTTAATATTTTTGTGGAAACTGTGATACTTTTTTCAGTATTCTTTGACGAATAGCAAGTTCAAAAGAACAGCATTTATTTGAATTTATAAAAAAAGTACACTGCCTCAAAATAAAGACAGCTTTTTTTAAATAAAGTATTTATCATGGTACTATCATATGTGTTGTATTGCCTTGAATTTATGGTAATTTATTTATTTATTTAAAAAAAAACTGTATTACAATAATGAAGCATAAAAGCATTATTGTATTACAATAGCGATAATCTAATGAGAGTCATCACTGAAAATTAAAGGACTTAAAAAAAAGTAAACAAAAACATCTGGATGCACTGAAGATAAATTGTGTGGATAAGTGGCCACAAAGGGGCACTCTTGAGCATCTATCTGAATCATAAAATCACAAATGAGACACAATACAATCTTCTGGACTACCTCAAGACTGCTAGTCCACATACAGTGTGGGATTCAGGACAGTACCAATAACATGAGAATGACTGAGTGGAACAGCCTATCAGCGGACGGGTGAAAGGTCATGTGACTAACTTACTCTGTCTTCTGGCATGGGCGAACACTCTCTCCTAGAGCTCTGCAGCTGTCAACAGAAAGGTGTTGTGTTGGGATAATAAAGTCCAGGTCAGTGTGAAACAACATACTACTGTCCGTGAATAAATATCAATTTTATACAAGCGGAAAAAAATGTATTAGCCTGTATTCAATACTATACTGAACTCAAGAGCTCTGTTTCAAACTCTTGTGAGTTGCATCCCTGTTCACTACTTAAATATGTGCCTTCTAAGGCAGCATCCTACAATATCCTATAAAAATTTCATCTGATGAATAAAACTTAAGTGCATATATGCTGCTGTAGAATTTGGCTAGAATGTGGCATAATTTGCTACCTACTTCACCTTTTTAACCAGTCTTTACAACAGGAGCATGTGACCTATGATGCTGTCTAGATAGAAAGGACACTAGAGCTTGGAACAGAGCTTCTGTTTGACTTATTTTTACCTCTCCCACACTCTCTCTCTCCTCTGATTCATCCAGTGAGGTGGTGTAAAGTGGTTCATAGTTGATTAGATCTGGACGCTCAATGTCATAAATGGCTTTGACCTTGGGAATGGCTGCTAAATCCTTGTAATCAAGGATCTCATTGTCTACTTTTGCCTAGGGGACACAAACACACACAGGAAGACACACAGATGTCTGAATTTCTACATGACAGCAGTGAAAATATAAAGTTATATAAAAAGCCTCTCCTGGGCCAATATAAGGGTCTGAGCATGATCATTTTAATATAAAAATGCAAAAAGCCACTTACATTACAGCGATTTTACCACAGGGTCATATGATGCTATTTTAAAGATCATTATTTTGTGTATTTGGTGTAAGAATATGTTGACATGCTTTAATGTTCAAAAAACGCGTTGTCCTCTATGCCCCGCCTCTCTCAAACGCTTCGTTTTCTACAAAGCCCCCTCCTTTGACAAGCGCAGTCTGCTCTGATTGGCCAGCTGACCCAGTGCATTGTGATTGGCCGAACACCGCAAGCACTCGTCGGAAATGTAACGCCCCTTACCTAATAAGCTAACATTTATATTTCAACACTGCTGTCAGAATTCACAGTGACAGGAAAGAGAGCCATCTATTAGGATTTCTATCTGTTTAAACAGCCAGAAAACTACAAGATGACTTGGCTAAGCCAATTTGTAACATTGCAATAAAATGTATAATAGTCATAAATATTTGAGTAATCAGGTTTAAAAGCATTTACACTATTGTTCAATGTTTGGGGTTGTTTTTTTTTTTTTTGAAGGAAGTCTCTTATGCTCACCAAGAGTGCTTTTATTTGATCAAAAATACAGTAAAAACTGTAATATTGTGAAGTATTATTACAATGTAAAATAACTGTTTTCTATGTGAATATATTTTAAAATGTAATTTATTCCTGTGATGCAAAGCTGAATTTTCAGCATCATTCCTCCAGTCTTTAGTGTCACGTGATCCTTCAGAAATCATTCTAATATGCTGATTTGCTGCTCAAGAAACATTTATTATCTTTATCAATGTTGAAAACAGTTGTGCTGCTTAATATTTTTGTGGAAATATATTTACACTATGGTGAAGCGATACACTTACATATATGGTGTGACCCGGTGAGCTAGGTATGCTTGAACCAGGTCTGGAACATATACTCTCGGACGACGAGCGTGTCGGCTGTGGAACAAGCACAGATTTAGAACCCACAACCTATATTCACTATAAGCAATAAATAAAAACATCAGCATTTTCATCTAAACAACTATATTCCCCACTGACGTGATTATTCAATGTTGCATTAGCCTTTACCAGAAGAGTTGTTTTTGAGTGTGTTACTTATATTTGCTTTACTGTGCATCAAACGAGCCTAATATAGTTTAACTTTTATATGTCAACACATTTTGTGCCTGCTTGCACATGGCTGTAAAGAGATCCATTATGATTTATTAAAATATTCATTGCCTACTGGCCAATCATGCTGCAGAAAGTCAATCAGCTGATCAAGGCTAAGACTCATCATAAACAACAAAGAATGCACAACAAATCGACAAAAATATAAAATATAAATCTTTCTAAGCATCAAAATATACATGTTCTAATATAAATGTAAGAAAACTTTGACCTGTAAACAATTATATATATTGTGAAGGATAGGACTAAATGATGACAGCATCCTTGAAACAAACCTAAAAGTAAAAAAAAAAAAAATCATTCATTTGCCTTCCACACAATGAATGAGACTCGTCAATGGCAATTTCCTGTTTCCGATGGCAGGAAATGCTTGAGGATCGAAATGTAAGTGCATCTGATATTACTCAGCATATTGAAATGCTGAAATGCACCATGCGTGATTACAGCAGCCTAGCTTGACTTAATTTCGCACCATAACAGAGTAACTGGACTAAGCTATCTGTTCTGTAGCACTAGCGTCTATGAAATGGAATAAACCAGATGTTAATGATGGTTTATGGCTAAAACTGAGCAGGCGGTCTGAGAGCTGCAGTGTAACTGCAAGTGAGGAGCACTGCAACCTTCCGCCTCCAGGGGGCAGCACATGGACAGGCGATGCCATGGCGCAGCTAACAGCGAGTACAGTACCTGCCTTTCTGTTTTGCTGTGGAGAGCTAGAGACGCAGGCAATAGCTGTGGAGGAAGACACAGGGGTTTGTTCGGACTAGGGATGTAACGGTATGAAAATTTCTTATCACGATTATAGAACACTTCCTTTAGGTATTACATGGAGCGAAGATGAAAACAAATGCCATCGAATCGTTTCTGAAGACGACCTTCAGAGGTACATTCATATAATTAATTCATTCAATTAACCGCCTAAGCTATAGCGGTGTTCCCGGAATGATTGTTTGAGCGACACGTCTACTAAAAACAGCCAGAAGAAGAAAGTACAGCCTCACAGCTAACAATATCATCTGTTTACTTTCAGAAAAGAGTTAGCAGAGAAGAACATACAGACAGCAACAACACAGGACACACATGTAAACACAGGACTCAGAATGACATGGAAAGGACCGTACCCGCTGTCTCTCCTCGCCTCTGAGTGAATGTTTACAGCTTGGATGCCAAACTGTTGATCCTGCACAAACAATGAAAGAGATGGTAAAAATAATGAAGTCATGTCAGTTGGGTCACTTTTTGACAAAGCATCTAAAGCAGAACTGTAATTTTCAGAGGTGACCTTTGTGTGGCACATCTTCAGTCATTCTGCTACAATGTAATTCAAAATAACTATATATACAATTTTATTGAAAAAAAAAAATTTTATTCAGCAAGGATGCATTAAATTGATCGAAAGTGACAGTAAAGAAATATAATTTGCATAATTCCACAAAAGATTAATATTTCAAATAAATGCACTTCTTTTAAACTTTCTATTCAGCAAAGAATTCTGAAATTAAAGTTACACTGTTTTTAACACTGATAATAATAAGAAATGTTTCTTGAGCAGCAAATCAGCATATTAGAATGATTTCTGAAAGATCATGTGACACTGAAGACTGGAGTAATGATGCTGAAAATTCAGCTTTGCATCACAGGAATAAATTACATTTTAAAATATATAGTTTAACTGTATTTTTGATTAAATAAACACAGCCTAAGACAGAATAAGACACTTCTTTCAAAAACCTTTAAAAAATCAATGCCAAACTTAAATTAACTTAAATGCTAGTGTATTGCTGTCTGCCATACTATAAGACAATGCAATACAATGCAATATAAATAAAAAAAAAATGCATACAGTACATCATTTCAACTAAAAGTAACTCTTTAGACAAATCCATGTGCTCAGCTAAAACTGATCCAGTGAAACTAGACAACAAAAACATCACTGTAAACCAAATAGAATAAATACTATTTTAACTTATCTGTCAGTATATTATTTGAAATATAATTTTAGTTATTTAATTAGTTAAACATAGTCCATTTTTTAGTTATTATGTCCATTCATAGTCCATATTTTAGTTATTTAAGTTAAACATAGTCCAGCAATTAAATAGCCTTTTTCGAAAAAAAAAAAGAGAAAAAAGATAATAATAAAGGGTGAGGCTCACCTTGCAGGTACATCTCCTCTCCTTCAGTAAACATCTGATTGCACCTGCTACAGCGAGCACAGCTGGGGTGGTAGTGCTTGTCCCCTGCCTGTGGAGAAACACACGCTCAAAGTTAAACCGTAAAACAGCTATTACAGATAACTCAAACAGACTGTTATAGAGAAGCTGATGTTTTGCATGTGTATCATGTGAGACGACACATATTTTATTCAAATGACCAGAACCAATGAGCTTATCAAATATAATACAGAAATGTTCTGTGTTCGCAGACTCTCTTTAAAGAGCAGAAATCATCTGAAAACTTTTGTTTTCAAACTGATTTTTCAAAGTTGCAAATAAAACAGAGTACTGGAGTATTTTACAAAAAAAATACTATTTTAGTCTTTCTACTTCAAAATTTCACATTTAATTCAACGCTTAATTAATTTATTAATTTAATGATTAATGCACAACCAATACTTATTTCATGTTTAATTCACTTGCTGTTTCTATATTATTTGTTACATTTACTGGCAATTTCCGAGTGAAAACAGTCTTTAACAAAACATTTTACAATTTTACATTATTATTAAATATTATGAACAAAAATCAGTCTTGAGAGAGACTTACAGGTCCTGTGCAGTATCTTGTGCTCTCAAACTACTCAAAGTAATTCATACAGGGTCCATTTCACTCATGAGCAGCGATGCACAAACACATTCCATTATAACAAACAGGAAAACAGTCACAAGTGTGATGAGAAAGGACAACTGTCTCTCTCACAACCAATCAGATTCAGTTAGCGGGATGAAACTTCCTGTTGCAATACTGTGAAGTCTGCTGTGAGCCTGTTGTGAAACATCAGATGTGTGTAACATGCTTTTGTGCTGCAGGTCTGTGTCACAATCAGTGTTTTGTTGTCGGACATGCATGCTGTCAAGTGATAAATATACTGTTCATGTTGCATGTCATCTAAAAACATAGGACTCCAAAATGGGCCACAGGTCTGTTCTGAAAAATCTAAAAAGGAAAATTAAGGAAATATGACCCAGACTACAATAAATACACAGATAAATATGGTTTGTTCTGACCATAAAGTGTTTCATGGAGAGGATTACTGTCTGATGAGGGCACGAAGCAACTGAATACGATATAAACAAAACAAAAAAACTATTCTAGTACTGTGTTAGGTTGTCACTTGATGGCTTGATTGATGAACGCAATTTTCTTTCCTGTGTTGACATATGTCCTATTCAAACAGGAAGATGGAAATATTCTGACAGGGTGTTGAAGTGTCTAAATGTTAGGCTCTCAAATGATTAGCTTAAGATTTTAAGCTATTGCTTACTGTTAATAGATGTACATACTGATTTCAGTGAATTGCATTCATTCACTCAACAGAAACGTGTGTGACTGGTTATAATGCAAAAAAAAAAAAAAACGTAAAAAATCTGATGCAACGTGAGCAGATATAACATGAATGCTAAGATCAACACATTTCATTTAATTTTCACATTTCACTTTAATCGCGACAGCAAAAGATTTAGTTTAATTGTGAAGGGGCATTTTTTGCTCCTTAATCTTAAATCTGAGAGGCAATTTTGTCCATTTCAGTGGCATTTCTTCCAGAGAGAGAGAGCACGGTGTTCCAGCGGATGACGAAGGACGTAGGCGTAGCGTAAGCTCCAGTGAGAAGTGACCAACGCAGAATCACAGTGGAGAAAACAAAACAAAACACCTGTCACGAATTAGAAGTACAAAACGAGGATTTGTAAAGAAAAATGCTGGAGGATTTCAATATAAGCCAAGAGAAAACTGGTTTTCCTTTGCTGTAAACAAAACTTGGTTCTCGCGAGACTAGCATATTTTCACTGGAGTTTACGCTACAGCTACGTCCTACATCATCCGCTGGAACGCCACTCTCTGCTGAACACGCGTACGACCGCGGAAGCTAGAGATTACGGTTTATAAAGTTTTAAATATGGATATTTTTCTTACACAAACGCATTGCTTCACTTCAGAAGGCCTTTATTAACTCCCCCGGAGCTGTGTGGAGCACTTTTTATGAGGGATGGATGCACTTTTATTGGACTTCAAAATCTCAACAGCCTTTCACTGCCATTATAAAACTTAGAAGAGCCAGGACATTTTTTTAATGTAACTCCGATTGTATTCGTCAGAAAGCCATATACACCTAGGATGGCTTGAGGGTGAGTAAATCAAGGGGTAATTTTCATTTTTGGGTGTACTATCCCTTTAACAATAACAACACTGCTCAAAGCTACAGACATTAACTAAAAGACACAAAGTAGTATTTCAAGGGATCCTTTTGTTACCATTCCAGAACTGTGTGTGTGTGCGTGTTTCTGTACCTCCAGGACTTTCCCGGTGATGAACTGCTGACACGCTTCACAATGCACTCCAAACAGGACCTGATAATCGTGCTCACAGTAGGGGGCGCCATCTCTGTGCAGATAAAGAGAACAAACTAATGCATACCGTCATCCATCATTTAGGATGGAATGGATGGATTTTGTGTATAAATGCGTCTTACTTGCTGATGTATTCTCCAGTTAATACTTTGGCACAGGCCTTACATTTAAAACAGCCCAAATGCCACTGACTCTCTAGAGCCAACAGAGCCTGACCATTCTTAATATCTCTGCCACAGCCCGCGCAACCTGAAACATACACACAAACTCATTTTATTTACACGATTGATGCTTTTTCCTATAAAAACATCTTTAAATTCTGCGCATGATTTAAAGTTTCACATGAATAACTCAGTTTGGGCCATTATTTTTGTGTCAAAACATGCAAACCATTTTTTTTAGACTTAAACTTGATCACTATGTCATGAATCAGTATATTGTGAACACAATTTTGGCATCTATCAAGGGTCTTGATCTATTACATCAGGACACTGATGACTCACACAATGGCATTTATCAACAACATTGCTGTATTACAAACATTAGTGATGTCGGTCTGGTATTCGTTTCTTCACATTTTACTTTATACCTTGTAGATGAAAGATGATCATTGGCTTTAGTAGTCGAGCTTAAAGGCTTAAAGTGGAAATTAATATAAATTATTTATTATAGTAGGTGGATCCTGGCCAAAAAGCCCCCAAATGCTCAGAAAAGGGAACAAAGAGAGATGAAGTGTTTGAATAATTTACCGTTTCACGTGTATATCCGTGCCAGAGCTTTACAGGATCTTATACAATCACTTTCTTTCCCATTAAGTCACTGTGTGGATGTGGCAGTATGTACTCTTACTATAGTTAATGTATGTTGACATTTTTTTTTTGTTTTTTTTTATAATGTCTGAGCATGAAGGAAGTTGCGATTAAATAATCTGCTTTATAAAGTTTATGCATATGAATTACATAATTATTTTTGCCTTCTAGATTCTTCAGGTTTTAAATTGAGTAAGATTTTGTCTTAAGTACTTAAACTTAAAAGTTGTAGATATGTGAGATCTTAAATCGTATGGTAAGGTCAAAAAGAAAAGAAATTAAATCAGGAAGTACACTGTGTATAAAAAAAAGAAGCCTATTGCATTGTGATAATATTTTCCCGTCCACAATTTTCATTAAAACAATCAGTTCAGATGCTTTACTTTTGTAAAGTATTTCTACTTAAATATATCCAAATGTTGGAGTTAATGAATTCATAAATAATGCAAAAATTCAAGGTAGTATAACAAACTTTCCTTTTTTTCACATTTCACTGATGAAAATGAGATTTGTATTGATTTGGCTGGAAATGTGTTTAATTTATTACTGATTTACTGTCTTTTTGATCAAATAAATGCTGCATTGGTGAGCATAAGTGATTTCTTTCAAAAACAAGGTAATACATAATTAAATATTTTAAATTACACTGAACAAAATTATAAACGCAACACTTTTGTTTTTTCCCCCATTTTTCACGAGCTGAACTCAAAGATCTAAGACTTTTTCTATGTACACAAAAGGCCTATTTCTCTCAAATATTGTTCACAAATCTGTCTAAATCTGTGTTAGTGAGCACTTCTCCTTTGCCGAGATAATCCATCCACCTCACAGGTGTGGCATATCAAGTTGCTGATTAGACAGCAGGATTATTGCACAGGTGTGCCATAGGCTGGCAACAATAAAAGGCCACTCTAAAACGTGCAGTTTTATCACACAGCAAAATGCCACAGATGTCGCAAGTTTTGAGGGAGCGTGCAATTGGCATGCTGGCTGCAGGAATGTCCATCAGAGCTGTTGCCCGTGAATTGAATGTTCATTTCTCTACCATAAGCCGTCTCCAAAGGCGTTTCAGAGAATTTGGCAGTACATCCAACCGGCCTCACAACCGCAAACCACGTGTAACCACACCAGCCCAGGACCTCCACATCCAGCATCTTCACCTCCAAGATCGTCGGAGACCAGCCACCCGGACAGCTGCTGCAACAATCGGTTTGCATAACCAAAGAATTTCTGCACAAACTGTCAGAAACCATCTCAGGGAAGCTCATCTGCATGCTCGTCGTCCTCATCGGGGTCTCAACCT